GCCTGGTCTGAGCCACCCGGGTTCCATGCGTTGGGTCGTGGGCAGAGGAGAGCCCAGCCTGCACCACACACAGGGGTGGCCGACACTCCCGGGAGGCCACAGAATGGAGGCAGCCGCCGGGAGTGGGGGCCGGGGCTGAGGCACAGAGGCGCGGGAGAGCAGGACGGGGGCCTGACAAAGAAGCCTGTATTTCGCTCGAGTTGCATCCAGTTGGTTTCCGAGACTTGCGATCCAGAACCCCTGCCTTCCCTGCTGCCCGGCTGGGCCTGCCCGCCACCTGCCTGGTGCCTCAGTCTCCCTGTCAGCCACGGCCCCTGCCCCTCTGTGCCAGCTCAGGCTGAGACACGCAGCTTCTGGCCCCCAGCCCACATGCACGGTGCCCAGAATGGACAGGGGTCACTGATCAGTTCCCTTCCCGACAATGCTGATGTCCGTGGGATGAGGGTGGGCTTGGCGTAGGAACACAGACCCCAGCAGACCCCAGGTCTTTCTGCCGTCCTACCTCTGCTCTCCGGGTGGTTTCCTGGGCTGCCCTCCCTGCCCCCGCACCGTGATGAGCTTCCCCAAGCCCAAACCCTTCCCTAGGCTCGGGCGGTCTGAACGAGCTTGCCTCTCACGGCAGCAGCCCCAGCCCAGGGAGGTCAAGGGCACCCAGTCCGCCTTGGCGTGTTTTGTCTGCTCCGGCCTCACATCGCAAGTGGGCGGTACTGTCAAGAGGTGGCGACGGCTTTCCACCACCTCACACCCACTCGGAGATGCCTCCCAGGGCCTCTCAGAGCTCCATCACACTCCGGAACTCAGTCTCTCCCTGCACCCGGCAGGAACTCATGGGCCTTCCCGGTGTCCAGACCCTTGTCTGTGCAGCTTATCTGGGCGCTGCAGGGTCGGCCTGTGCGGCTGGGCTCGTGAGGCAGCGAGGTCAGAAGAGCGACCACAGCCTTATTTAGGGAAAACAGGACACAGGGCGGCTCACGAAGGCTTAGAAGGCCAAAGAGGCTGACTAAGGGACAGCAGGGAACTCTCAAAGTCTCCAGGACTCCAGAGAAGAGGTTGGCTTCCATTCAGCCATGGACAGCACGGCCAGGAGACACCTGTGGACTGGGACCCAAACCACCCCGCCACGGCCTGCGGCCCTCCCATGCTCATGACGTCAGGGCTCCTTCCCAGCTGCCCCGGAGGAGACAGAGCCCTCGTGCCTGCGCCGGGCTCATCTTCCCTCCCCGCCCACCCTCTGCAACAGCGCCTGGAGGAGGGTGACCCGAGGGCACTTTCAAGAGCAGGGGGCCCGGCATGACTCCGTGGGCTAGGCCACCGCCTGGGCCTCAGAGTGCCCGGGATCAGGCCTCGCTCCACTTCCCGCCCGGCTTCCTGCTGATACCCACGGTAGGAGGCCGCAGTGACAGCTCAGGGCCTAGAGTCCCTGCCACCCCTGTGGGAGGCCAGATGGAGGCCTGGCTCCTGGCTTTGACTTGGCCCAGCTCTGGCTGCTGCAGCCATTTGGAGAATGAACCGGCAGATGGAAGATCTCTCTCTCCCTCGCTCTCTCTCCCGTTCTACCCCCCCCCATCTCTGTCACTCTGCTTTTCAAATAAATAAATCTTTTATTTTAAAAAAGGATCTATCTCTTTTAGTATATTCTGTACAGGAGACATCCAGATTCGGACACAGATAGATTGAAAGCAAAAGGATCACCAGTGCCACAGCTCACTAGGCTAATCCTCCGCCTGCGGCGCCAGCACCCCAGGTTCTAGTTCCAGTCAAGGCGCCAGATTCTGTCCCGGTTGCCCCTCTTCCAGGCCAGCTCTCTGCTGTGGCCAGGGAGTGCAGTGGAGGATGGCCCGAGTGCTTGGGCCCTGCACCCCATGGGAGACCAGGATAAGCACCTGGCTCCTGGCTTCGGATCAGCGCAGCGCGCTGGCCATAGCGGCCATTTGGGGAGTGAACCAATGGAAGGAAGACCTTTCGCTCTGTCTCTCTCTTTCTACTGTCTAACTCTGCCTGTCAAAAAAAAAAAAAAAAAAAAGTAAAAGGATGGAATAAAGATGTAAAAACAGCAAGCACAGGAAAGCTGGAGTAGCTGAGCTGATACCAGACGAGACAGATCTTACAGGAAGAACATTACTGTAAAAGACCAATTCACCAGGAAGATCTAACATACGCAGACGTATGTGTACTTAGCAGCAGAACACTAAGACACATGAAGCAAAAACTGACAGAGAAAGGGAGAAACAGATGGATCAGCGACAAAGCGGATGGGGCCGGAGTTGGACCCGGGCTCGGGGCACCAGTGAGGCAACGCTGACTCCTGACGTCCCGTGACTCAGGTCCTGATGTAAAATTGACAGCACCATTGCAAATGGCAATATGTAGTCCGCAATTTTATTTTACAAGATTAAGAGCGAAAACAAGAGTACGACTTAATATACAGAGAGAGGTGTCCCTCACAAGGTGGAACAGATACACACGATGACTGCCAGTCCTCCTCTGTGGCTGGCCACGCAACTGTACAAGAATACCTCGTCCTACTCACTCGCCCTCAGCAAACACCGCGTCCGATCGGGGTTCTCGCGGTGTGGGGGTGGGGGGTGGTCCAACCTCTGCTGCTGGAGCCTGGGCCGCTCTAAGTCCTGCTTCCCTGCCGGCTTCAGTCACGGGGCACTGTGACACCAGGAGTCGTCCGAAGGGGTCTCTGCATCCTGCATCCGCTCTTGCTCCCTTCCACTGTGGAGCCCTCGCCCAGTTTCCCCTTGTGGGTGAGATCAGTCACCCCAGCCGACACAGGACCTCCTTTCTCACTGACCGATTGCGAGGCATGAGGAGCCCGAAGTGGTGGGTGTGGGTCTCACTACTCCCCCCCCCCCCCAGTTCAGTGAAGTCACTGGGTGTCCCCTGGTGGAAGCCTCCCTCCCTCTGCAGTAAGACCTCTAGGCCAGCAGCACACGGAGGCACAGGAGCAGAAAGCGAAACTCTTGCCCACAGGTCACCGGCAATGATGACCAGCGCCACCCCACTCCCACCCCGTGTTCCTGGACTCGCGATCCTGGCTGCGGGGCATACCGCCACATACGGACGCTGGCTCAGAGCACACACAGTGTTCTGGAGAGTCCTGCACCAGGCCCGCATGGTACCGTCACCTAGCGGGCACCTAACGCCGATGTCAGCCTATCGCGCTGGCTCCTCAGGCCCACCAGGGAACCCCATGCCATGGGCCCATCACCACGTTTTGGCTGCGTCCCTGGGTCAGAAGCAGTGCTGGGCGGAATAGCGCGATGGTGGGTAGACCACAGGTGGCAGATTCACTGCCTGGTACAGGAGGAAACTCATGTCAGAGTCCTTCCAGGAAGGACAAATTGCCGCTCCTTCCCCGGCGGAAGCAGTCCGAGGTAGGTGACCTGCCCCAGGACGCTGGTGACCAGGGCCCCGGGGCCGGTCCCTGCTGCTGGCAAACTGGGCACACGGTGGTGGCTGTGGCCAGATCAGCGCTGGTGAACTGAAGTCCCTGCTGCTGAGCCCACACACAACCTCCACCTCGGCCAAGACGCCGCCTCTGGGCAGAGACAGGGCGACCGGGATTCGCAGAGCTGGGCGTCCCACCCCGACCACTGAGGTCCTCCCCTGCTGCCGTCAGCCCCGGCGGGCACTCTGCCCACTGGAGAGGGTCATCTACAACACCTCCTGTCCAGATTTCTTTGTCACCAGTTCTCCAGTCACGTGCAGAGCCCTTGCCCATCCAGTTAAACCACTTGGCTGCAGTGCACACACTGACGCGCACCACGCACCCGGCCGTTTCTCCTTCCTGGCAAAGTGCACAACCAGCGCACTGCCCAGCTCTGCCGTGTGAGACTTCCCCGGCGTTGCCGAGAGGGAGAGCTGCGGCTGTCCACTCTCAGCTGGTGCTCGCACGCTGTGGAGGACCCATCTGTAAGCCAGGCCCTTGTCCTCTCTCCCGGTCAGTGAGCACAGGGGACCCACACGGCACCACAGGTGCAGGCTGGGAAAGAGAAGGCAGCGTGGCGGGGTAGGGACCGCGGGCATCCACGTGGCTTACCTGTGCCCCCAGGACCTTCTCAGGCCGGATCGTGAACACACACACTTCTAGCTGACGGACAGCTGCTGTGTACACCTGGCTTCCCGGCTAGGTCAGAGCCCGGGACACGACGGGCTGGTCAGGCCCCACGCTCCTTGGGAGCCCATGGGCAGGAGGCCAGCGTCTACTGAGGCCTGGCAGCTGACCCGGAGCTCTTTCCCAGGACAGCAGTCGTCTGCGGATGACAGGGCCCTGCCCCAAAGCCCCCGGGCTGCCCTGGGACACATGGGGGCTGGCCAAAGGCTCCAAACAGCATCCCTACTGCTGACACCCCGGGGGCCGTTGGCTCTGCAGGGTCAGGCGGCCCAAGCGGAAGAGCGCCTCATGCTGTAGGCTGCACCTGTTGCATAGCCTTCGTCCGTCCCATGCCACTCAAAACCAGAGGCCTTTCAGGCTAAGTGTGCTGCCCCCCAAATGGGTCCACTGGGCACAGGGCTTTTCCTGGCAGTAGACGGGGTCAGACACAACTTTTCCTTCAGCACAGGAGGGAGACCTCGATGTGCCCAAACCACTGACCCTCCGGAAACCCCAAGCAGAAGATCCCGGAATTTTAGTAGTTATTGCTCACTCTCTGACACACAAGGTCTTTAAAAAAAAGATTTATTTTATTTATTTGAAAGTCAGTTACAGAGAGAGGTAGAAACAGAGAGAGAGGTCTTCCATCCGCTAGTTCACTCCCCAGATGGCTGCAATGGCCGGAGCTGCGCCGATCCGAAGCCAGGAGCCAGGAGCTTCCTCTGGGTCTCCCATGCGGGTGTAGGGACCCAAGCACTTGGGCCATCTTCTACTGCCTTCCCAGGCCACAGCAGAGAGCTGGATCGGAAAAGGAGCAGCCGGGACTAGAACCAGTACCCATATGGGATGCCAGCGCTTCAGGCCAGGGCGTTAACCCACTGTACCACAGCGTCAGCAACAGGAAGTCCAAAATGGTTGCTACTTCTTTTTTGTGTTTATTTAAAAGTGTGACTGGGGGGAGAGGGGAGGGCGGAGAGCCTCCGTCCACTGGTTCACTCCCCGCCCCCTCCAATGCCCAAAACAGCCGGGCCTGGGCCAGGAGTCAGGGCCTCCACCCAGGTCTCCTGTGTGGGCAGCTGAAGCCCAAGAACCTGGGCAGCCACCTGCTGCCTCACACGTGCACTCGCAGGTGGCTGGATGGGACGCGGGGCACGGCTCAATCCCAGGCGCCCCGCCCGGGACGCAGCACCCCAGGCGGCCCCTTAATGACCGCACCACGCGCCAGCTCCTCTACTTCCTGCTCACTGCGTCCATCAACACGATGGACCACTGTGGCTGTCCTGTGGAAAGGTGACCCAGGCCCTTCCAACTGAACTGTGGCACAGGCTGGAGTGGGGACAGCCCTTAGGCAGGGGTCTGGAGGTCTCCCGCCGGCCTCGCCAGGCCACCAGCTGCACAGCAGTACCAGGAAACGCGCCGTTCTGCTCAAGCCACACGATGACATCTGGCTCAGCAGCCGCGACTGCAATCACCGCACAGCGCACGCTCAGGACAGGCCCTGCCACTCTCCAGGATCCACCTGCCCTCCGCACGGGCCAGACAGGTGAGTCGCATGGTGACACAGGGGAACCTCACCCCTGCGTGTTCCACGTGCCTGCCGATGGCTCTCACCCCTGCAACCCCTCAGGGACTGGTGCTGCTCTCCGGCGACTGTCCTCTGGGTGGAGGCGGCTCTCGAGGTCAGGGCCCAACGTGGGGCTTCTGCTGGCTGTTACATACACCTGCTCCGCTGTGCATCCCGGAATGGGGCAATGGCCCCAGAGCGGGCTGCGGGCCTCCTGTGAGCTGGACGTGAGCTAGAAGGCCATTCGTCACGTGACTCTGCGGCCCCCACCCTGACCGGAGGGCCATGGTGAAGCTTCAGGTCTCCGGACCCAGTGTGCACTCAGAGCTGCTGTCCAGCGTCCCCGGACTCCTCGTCACTTCCTTTCCCTCGACACAGGGCGACCCTGGTCTGAGGCCACAGGTCCCTTCGCAGGGAGGACAGAAGAAAGACAAACGACACACAATCAGCAGTCCCGGGGCCCGTCCTCAAGGGGACCCGGCCAACTCTTCATCGGGCGGTCCTGGGTCTGTGGACTGGGTCGATTTTGGGAATCGATGAAGGGGCGTGATTCAGTTGACCTGGGACTTGTCTGCCCAGGCAGGCCGAGTAAGAATTTGGCAGCTTCCTACCTGCTTCCCTCTCTGGAATACCACGATCTGCCCTTCATCACGGCGGCTACACCAGGCCAGCTGCCGATGGCCGGGCGCCACCGGCTGGCCCTCGCCACCCTGGGCTCATATCATTCCCATCGCGTTCAAGTTTTCCAATTGAGTGACGGCGGTTCCCACCGTAAGGCCCGGCCCGCAGAGGAGGGCGACCACACAGGTCTTCAGGGATGCTGGGGCGCCCCTCACAAATCGGTTCCTCACCGCGCTGGTGAAAAGCGCATCTTCGGGGCCCTCCCAGGGCAGGGGGGTGGATCTCAGGTGACACAGCCACTCCACCATGCCGATCTCCCTGAGCCTGCGAATGCCCTCCTCCAGGGTAAACCACGGGAGGTCTGGCATCTCCAGCTCGCGCACGCTGGGCCATCTTTTAACCCACGTCTCGGCCAACCAACCGAATAAACTGTTAGCGCCTTTCTTAACTCCCCGAGCGGCCAGGTTGAAGGCGGGATCCCGGCTCAGGGAGCCCAGGTCGATGAATTCAGCCCGGACCAACTTTAAGTTCTTCCCCCCGTTATCCCACACCCTGAGTATCCACTCCCACACTTGCTCTTCAGTCTTCTGCTTGTACAAAGCGGAAAACTCCAGCAGTTCCTTCGGGCTGTAGCGTGCCTTCTCACGGCTTCTCACGGCCTCAGGGGCCTGCCGAGAACCGGGGCCAGCTACCTGTCTGCAGGACAAGAGGGGTGACGCGGCGGGGTCCTGAGGCGCCTCAGCCTGGCTCTGCCTGGCGGCTGCTCCAGGAGAAGCCATGCCCGCTTCCTCGGGTGACGCAGAACTGATGCCCTCCGCCGCCGCCGGGGCGGGGGAAGCCGCGAGTGGGGATGCGGGGACCACGCTGGGGGGCGGGAGGCCCAGTTCCACTGGCAAGCAAGCCTCCTCGGGATTTAGGGGCTCGGCGTCCGCAGCTTCGTCCAGCTCCTCCCACACGTCGCCGTCCCAGCGTACGGGATCCCACTCTTTGCCGACCAGCGCTCTGACTTTCACGGCAGACACCCTGCGAGGCCGCGAGTTCAGCTTCCGCTGCAATTCCGCCAGCCGCACGATGAGGGCTTGGGCTTGGTTCTCCGCCACCTCCGCCCTGTGGCTACAGGAGAGGAGACTCTGGCCCAGGACGCTCTTGGAAACCCTGAGGTCGTTGACGCGGAGCTGCAGCCGGTAAACCTCGTCCCTGAGTTCGTCTCTGTCTCTCACCACCCTGTCCAGCGAGGACAGGAGCAGCCAGCCAGCGTCCCTGTGCTCCCTGGTTCCCCACAGGAGCTGGAAGGTCCCATGGACAGAGTCACCGAGTTCCTGGCCTCCCTCGAGCGGTGACTCGGGAGAGTCCACCGCGTTTATCCTGCACATCTCTAAGAATAGCTCCCGCCACGGATTGCAGGTGCTGTCCGCGCCGTCGGAAGGAGAATCCTTTGCGTCTTTAGGTCTAACCATATTACACAGCCAATTCCAGAAGCCCCAAAGCCAATGAAGGAAACCCATCTTAGAATTCGGAACCACTCCTGAGACCCAAGTCGGTGCTGCAGTTCCGGGGAGAGAGAGAGAGAGAGAGAGCGCGAGCGAGCAAGACCCCGCGGGAAATGTATAAGGTATCTGACAGGAGAGCGGTCAGCGGCGGGCGGCGTGGCTCACGTGGCACAGGTCCACTGCAACGTGGGGCGCCGGCAGCGTGGCTCCCAGTCTGAAGGCCTCCGAGCCCGGAAGGTAACGGCGTCACTCTTAGCCCACGGCTGACGGCCAGGGGAGCGCGGACCGTGCTGGAGCCCAGGGTCAGCGCGGCTGCAGTTCCGACGCCCAGCGCGTGTCTCGGGCCTGCTGGGGTAGAAGGAGAGAGATCAACCCGTCTCGTGTTTATTTCCTCTCGGCCTGCCCCGCCTGGCCGTCCACTCGGCCTCGCAAGACAGCCCCTCTGCAAACACCCTCACAGACGCCCGCAACGCAAGGCCTCTGCGCACTCCTTAAGCGAGCCAGGCTGGCACCTAAGTCAGCCACCACAAGGACACGACAAGAGTCCACCGTGTCTGGGGCCGGGCCTGGCGGGAGGAGCGGGAAGGCAAGGACCCGCCACGCCTCTCGCCCAACTCGCTGCCCGCCCTACAGAGCAACCGCCCTCTTCCAGGTCCACGTTACCCTCACTTGGGCTCAGGTCACCGTTCTGCAGAGACAGCCGGAAATCAAGCGCTTGGCCAGCAGGACCAGCCTGCGGGGAACCCGGGCAGTGCCCACCGTGCACGGTGCAGGCCACCCGTGCGGACCCAGCCTCCCGGGTTCCAGGCACGCGCATGCGCACGGACGAGCATGGCCCTGTCCGTCCCGGCCCCGCCTCCCGTCGCCTGGGAAACCGGGGGCGTGGCTCCGCGCGGCGCGGTGAGTGAGAAGCGCGGGGGCCGGCGGGATGCAGCGGGCGCTGTGGGGCCGACCCGGGCGGAGACCGATTGGTGAGATGCGGCCGCGGACGGGGAGCGCTGGATGGCGATTGGCGGAGTGAGGCAATGAATGGGGCGGGGCTGGCGGCGATTGGCTGGCTACGGCGATGGGC